ACCATGTATCTGTGTTTCTGTGTGTAGCATATCCTTAAGCATCTTCTGCAGGGCTGGATGGCTGGTGATAAAGTCTTTCAATTTCTGTTTGTTGTGGAAGGTCTTTATTTCACCTTCATTCATAGTATTCTGGGTTGACAATATTTTTCTCTTAAGGCTTGGACTATATCTCACCATTCTCTCCTAGCCTGTAGGGTTTCTGATGAGAAGCCTGCTATGAGTCTAATTGGAGATCCTCTGAAAGTAATCTGGCATTTCTCTCATACACATTTTAGAATTTTTTTCTTTATGTTTTACTGTGGAGAGTTTGATTACAGTGTTTCATAGTAAAGATCTTTTCTGGTCATGTCTATTAGTTCTATGTGCTTCCTGTACTTGGATGACCCTTTCTTTCTCTAACTTGGGGAAGTTTTCTGCTTGTATCTCACTAAAAAGATCTTCTAATCCTTTCTCTCTTTCCATGCCTTCAGGAACTCCTAGATCCTGGATGTTGAGTCTTTTTATAGTGTCCTGTAGATTCCAAACAATGTTTTTTAGTTTTGTAATTTCTTCCTGTGTTTGGTCTGACTGCATAGTTTCCTGTACTTTGAAAACACAGAAAAGCTTAGAAAAGTCAGATATTCTTTCTTTTGCCTCACCAATTCTGTTGTTAAAGCTCTCCACTGTATTTTTTATTTGTTCTATTGAATTCTTCATTTCTAAGATTTCATTTTGATTTCTCTTTAAGATCTCAATTTTGTGGGAGAAATTTTCTTTCATGTCATATATAGATTTCATTAGTTTGTGTATTTGCTTCTGATTACTTCTAAGTAATCCTATGATCAGTTTTTTGAATTCCATTTCTGGCACTTCTTCAATTTCATTATCTTCACAATCTAGTATTGAATGTTGTGTTCTTTTGGGGGGTCATGTTATCTTCCTTGTTCTTATTTCTTGGATTGGTGCATTTGTTATTTGGCATTTGTAGGGATACTCGGTGGTTTCTTCTTTGTTATTTTCGCTGTGATGGCTTTTATCTTTGGACTGTGTCTGATTGGATTAGTGCAGTGTCTGCTTTCAAGGAATACCTAGAGGGGTGTGGTGGCAGTGGCTAGGGAGCTCTGTTCAGTGCTCCAGGGTGAAGGGCATGTCTGAGTTGACACACCCAGGTTTGGTGTGGTAAATCTTTTTTTTTAATATCAGTGGGGCGGTTTCTTCTTGTCTGTTGGCATAGACTCAGCTGAGCTCCTCTGTCGCTCCCCCTCTTCGCGGAGGAACGACACAGGACCCTGCGCTGTTCTTTTGTCTGCTCGGCCCTTCCCAGGTTTGCTGCTGGTTCTTCCCGGGTTGGCTGCCCACCCTTCCACCTCCGTGGAAGGGCGGTGCCCCCTGCCACTTTCCCCACTTCCTCGGGGGAGCGGCACACTGCCGGCCGGCTCTCGGGGGCTGCTCAGGTGTTCCTTCAGATAGATGTTCCTGGTGCATGTTGTCTCTCTCCTCCTTTATAGTCCTCTTCCACCAATCCCAACTCTGCTACCCACACGCCGAGTACGCTGCTCTCCTCCAATCAGGAGCAGGATCAGCTCCTGCAGGTTACTGGTCGAACTGGAGGCAGCTGTGTAAAAGTTGTTTACTCCTCTCCCAGCACCATATTGTGGGAGAGCAGATGCATAGAATAAGTCTTAATTCCAGTAACTTAGTCTAGTCCGAGTTGCTCCCCACACTCCTCTCCTCGAAGGAGACCAGTCCTGGGTGGTAGCCCCAGTGATTATATTATTTGTCTGCTCTGTCACAAGGACTACACACAGGATCTGTATAGTCCTCAGTATAAGCTCAGATTCCCCAGCAGTGTCCCTCACCAGGTAACCAGGGAGCCCTGATCATGTGGAGTCTCCCACAGTGACCGCCCCATGTTCCAGCCACACCCTGAGTCCTCCCATGCAGCCGCAGTGTTTTCACAGTCCTGGCACACAAGTTTCCCACAGTCACGAGCACCCAGCCCCCAGTCTTCTCTCTCCACCAGACTCAGGAGTCTCCACTTGGCTGGTTGCTGGGTGTGGACATGAGTTGGTGCAGCTGTTATGTACGCCCAAAATGGCACCTGCTCTCTGTCAGCTTGTTACAGGACGCCTTTGCAGGTACACTATGCCCCACAGGGCTCCAAGCCAGATTCCCTCTGGGCTCTTCCTGTAGCTTTTTCCCCAGTGGCTTGGGCTCCTGCAGTCAGGTCTCGCTTTGCTCTCCAACACTGGTGCAGAGGCTCTCGGCTGGTGGGGTCCTAACTTGTGCGTGTCTTCGCCCTCCATGCAGGTCCACTGTGTTCCTCCAATTTACTTAGAGTTTCCTCTGCTGTTTTCTCCCTAACTCTTCCCTGAGACTGCACTCTTTCCACTTTTTAAAAACTATCCTCTAGAATGGAGCAGCAAAGTTCCCTCCCTACTCCGCCATCTTAATCCAATCAAAGGCAGTTGTACACTTTTTATTTTAAATAAATCATGTCAACTTTATTTTTTTTTAGATTTTATTTATTTGAGAGATAGAGTCACAGACAGAGAGAGATGGAGAGAAAGATGTCTTTCATCCTCTGGTTCACTCCCCAGATGGCCACAATGGCTGTGGCCAAGCTGATCTGAAGCCAGGAGCCAGGACTTTCTTCCAGATCTCCCACACGAGTGCAGGGGCCCAAGGACTTGGACCATCCTCTACTGCTTTCCTAGGCCATAGCAGAGAGCTGGATCAGAAGTGGAACAGCCGGGACTTGAACCGGTGCCCATAAATGGGATGCCAATGCTCCAGACAACAGCTTAACCTGCTACGCCACAGTGCCAGCCCCTTACATCTGGTTTTTACAGCTTTATGTATTTTTGAGCTCGGAAACATTTCTATCTGAAAAAGCTCCCCTAAATTCCCTATTCCTTTGCTCTATTTTCTCCTAGTGCTTGTCACCGCAATGAAGTTCTTTTAGAGGGATAGGGCTAAGTTCTCAGCTCAATCCTCAAAAAAAATTTTTTTGTAAAAACAAAGGAAAAGTGCTTATATACTAAAAATCTATAGAAATGCCATTTTGTGATGTTTTCAGAAAATTAAGTAACTTTAGCTCCTAGCTCCCCTTTAAAGAGGCAGATCCTTTGCCATATGAGAACTTAACCCCAGGGTACTGGCCCTGATTCTGAAGGGTGTTTTGGTTTGCTGTGGCCTGGCCAGTTGAAATCACACTAGATAGTCAGGTCCTCACATCTACTTTCCTTTCTCATGGGTGATGTTTGTGCCAAGTCTTACTAAGAGGACCTCAGTCCCACTGAAGATAGCTCTTTCAGGGAAAGTGTACGTTAATATTCTTCCTTTCTGATTGATTTGTTCACAATCCACTAGAATGCTTCTGAGTGTAGATTCCATTACACTGCGAGTCTTAGCCTCCCCTTGGCTGCTTGGGTCCTGGGTGCTTTCATCTAACAGAGGTCAAATGTTCCTTAACATTGGCAGATGTTACAGACCAAGGGCATCGAGCTCCCCTCTGCATGCTATAAAGGAGAAGGCATCGTGGTAATGTCAAATTTACTTCCAGCATACTGCTTGTGTTAGAGACAAAGAGTATCAAATGCCAGATGAAGACTGACTTTGCATCATTTGATGCACGCCTATACGTGTGCCAAAATAAAACTTAACCGTTTTCCTGTTTCCTTGGGGAAAGTAAGTTTAAAATACTTGCAGTTACCAAATGGGAACAGTTCTCCCTGATTTTAAGAGTTGATTTCTAGCCACAGTTCAGTGACTCACATGTAACGGTTTCTAATGAAAGAAGTAACAAGTAGCCAAAATGGGTGGTCAGAACTCTTATTAAAACTCATACTTTGATTCATAAATCAAAGACATAGTCATGAGACAGTTCTTGTACCTATAAAATAGATTCGGTAAGTCTTTAAAATATTTCCTTGAAAATAGAATTCATGTGCAACTTTGCAGAGAACACTGTTATTTCTACTTGATAACATAACTGGCTAAAACTTTAAGAATCACATTGTTTACAAAATGTTTTTTACGATAAGCAACCACCTGTGCACCAAAAAAGTTACCCAGATTTGACAGCCAAATGCTTTCATGTGTTTGATAGAGCAACAGACTCTTTGCCATATAGTAAAAGTAGCAGTTTCCCTTGCAATGTATCAAACGACTTGAGTTGCATATGAAAAATTAATTTTAAAATTTAAATAATATTTTGATTTAATGCAAGACCATTATTCAGAACTAGCTTTTCCTTTTTTTTTTTTTAAATGTATTTGACAGAGTTAGAGAGAGAGAGAAAGTCTTCCTTCCATTGGTTCACCTCCCAAATGGCTGCTATGGCCGGAGCTACGCCGATCTGAAGCCAGGAGCCAGGTACTTCCTCCTGGTCTCCCATGTGGGTGCAGGGCCCAAGCACTTGGGCCATCCTCCACTGCACTCCCGGGCCACAGCAGAGAGCTGGACTGGAGAGGAGCAACCAGGACTAGAACCCAGCGCCCATATGGGATGCCGGCGCCGCAGGCAGAGGATTAACTATGTGAGCCATGGCGCCGGCCCCAGCTTTTCATTTTTTTTTTTTTAAGATTTTTTTTTAAAAGATGTATTTATTTGAGAAGCAGAGTTACAGACAGAAAGAAGGAGAGGCCGGCGCGGCTCACTAGGCTAATCCTCCGCCTAGCGGCGCCGGCACACCGGGTTCTAGTCCCGGTCGGGGTGCCGGATTTTGTCCCGGTTGCCCCTCTTCCAGGCCAGCCCTCTGCTGTGGCCCGGGAGTGCAGTGGAGGATGGCCCAGGTGCTTGGGCCCTGCACCCCATGGGAGACCAGGAAAAGCACCTGGCTCCTGGCTCCTGCCATCGGATCAGCGCGGTGCACCGGCCACATCGCGCTGGCCGCGGCGGCCATTGGAGGGTGAACCAACGGCAAAGGAAGACCTTTCTCTCTGTCTCTCTCTCTCACTGTCCACTCTGCCTGTCAAAAAAAAAAAAAAAAAAAAAAAAGGAAAGAAAGAAGGAGAGACAGAGAGACATCTTCTACCTGCTGGTTCACTCTCCAAATGGCCACTATGGCCAGAGCTGCGCTTATCTGAAGACAGGAGCCAGGAGCATCCTCTGGATCTCCCACGTGGGTGCAGGGGCCCAAGGACTTGTGCCATCCACCACTGCTTTCCCAGGCCATAGCAGAGAGCTGGATCAGAAGAGGAGCAGGCAGGACTCTACTGGCACCATATGGCATACTGGCACTGCAGGCGGAGGCTTAACCTACAGTGCCAGCCCCAGGTTTATTTATTTCTTTATTTGAAAGGCAGATTGACAGAGAGTAAAACAATAAGATCTTCCATCTGCTGATTCACTCCCTAAGTAGCCACAATGGGCCAGGCCAAAACCAGGAGGCCAGAACTCCACTCAGGTCTCCCACATGGGTGACTGGGACCCAAGTGCTTGGACCATCTTCTGCTGCTTTCCTAGGCAGATTAGCAGGGAGTGTGATCAGAAGTGTAGCAGCCAGCATTTGAACTGGCACTCTAATATGGGATGCCAGTGTTGCAAAAGTCAAGGCAGCTTAACTCATTGTGCTACAACACCAGCCTCTCTCCCTCACCCCCCCCGCCCTTTTTTAAGAAAAAAAAATGCTTGTTTGGTGTTTTAGAAAAGTCATTATTGGGGCCATTGCTGTGGTGTAGCGGGTAAGACCACTGCCTGCAGTACCAGCATCCCATGTGGGCGCAGGTACTAGTCCCGGCTGCTCCACTTCCAATCCAGCTCCCTGCTATGGCCTGGGAAAGCAGTGGAGGATGGCCCAAGTCCTTGGGCCCCTGCACCCAAGTGGGAAAACCAGAAAAAGCTCCAAGGTTTTGGCTTCAGATTGGCCCAGCTCTGGCTGTTGTGGCCATTTGGAAAGTGAACCAGTGGATGGAAGACCTCTCTCTCTCTGCCTCTACTTCTGTAACTCTGCCTTTCAAATAAATAAATATTTTTTAAAAGTCATTATTTAATGGACTCTATTAGTAAGATGATAACCTAGGCCATTCATGTCTTACAGCTGCTAAAAACACCTGGTGCTCCCGGGCACTGTCCAGTGAAACAGTTGGGCTTTTTCCATTCAGATGCTGCCCCATCCCCCAGCCAGGTGTGGGAATGTCAAAAAGAGACTGCCCTCAATATAGAAATGCCTTGCCCTGTGCCCACTCTTCCAATCTAGAAAAAAGAGTCATGCCAGAAAGTAGCAACAAAGCTTTGACAATTTTAATATTTGTAAATTATCAGCATTGCAAACCCGTCACATTCAGGTAACTCCTTTTCACCCCAGAGGGTAGGGCAGTGAAATGCCGCTGCAGGCCACAGATGGAAATGTGTGCTGTTAATTAAGCTTCTCAAGGCAGGCCAGTCACTACTGGTTTTAATCATCAATGGAGTGTTTTATCCACAGGTTTGTCAGCAGAAAAATTAAGTAGTGTTTAACAGAAAGGGAAATTAAGCAAATGTTTGAGCTGGTACTGTTTTATAAAGATAAATCCTTTTTTTCTGCCTACAATCAAATGTTTGTTTTGGCATGCCATTCACAGGGCTTCAGTGTTAAAACTCGAAGCCCTAACAGCTTGCGTTGGTTTACGTTGTTTGCTGTTGGAATTTGTCCAAAGCTCCTGTTTCTTGTGATTTTCTACTGAATGGCTCCACAATCTCCATTCAGATTCCATCAGGATGGCTCCTTTTCATATAGAATCAGTGGTAATCATAGGAAAAAGTATCACCATAAATCAAATGGGAAATTGAGTACTATGTGGGGTTAGGGATGACCAAAGGTGAAATTAAATTTCAGTCCTATTACCCGAGGAATAAAATAGATTCTTTGAAAATTCTTTGCCCATCCATGGAGTGCTTTCATATAAAGCTCTCTCCTGTTCCCTCCCTCTCCCCACTCCCACTCATTTGTCTTCTCAAAGCAGTTTGCATCCTGGCTCACTGTGGAGAGAGAAGGGTAAGTTAGCACATGCCCATAATTTGTCGTTGGTAACTGGGGGGCATGGTGGGGTTCAAGAAGTGGTTATTTTAAGAATGATACTTAACGCTATAATTACTACTCAAACAGTATTTTACACTTTATGTTCTGTGTGGGTGCAAACTGATGAAATCTTAATATATACTAAATCAGTCTTCTGTATATAAAGATAATTGAAAATGAATCTTGATGTGAATGGAATGGGAGAGGGAGCGGGAGATGGGAGGGGTGCGGGTGGGAGGGAAGTTATGGGGGGGAAAAAGCCATTGTAATCCATAAACTGTACTTTGGAAAATTATATTTACTAAATAAAAGTTAAAAAAAAGAATGATACTAAGATCTAGCAATATTTATCATTTTGGACTTCAAAAAGTATGCTGTTTTGTGTGTACCGTAAAAAAGCTTGAAAACACAGTAATATATGAGTAGTTTAAAAATATTTTTATGGGCCCAGCATTGTGGCCCAGTGGGTTAAAGCTACTGGTTTATGATGCTGGCATCCCATACTGGGTGCTGGTTTGAGTCCTGGCTGCCCTGCTTCTGATCCAGGTTTCTGCTGAAGCGCCTAGGAGGGCAGTGGATGAGGACCCCAGTGCTTGGGCTCCTGCTGCCCGTGTAGGAGACCTGGATGGAGTTTCTGGGCTCCTGGCTACAGTCTGACCCAGCTCTGGCTGTTGAGGCCATTTGGAGAGTGACCCAGTAGATGGACGATCTCTGTCTCTCTGTCCCTCCCTCTCTGTCATTCTGCCTTTCAAGTAAATAAGTCTTTAAAAATAAAATGCTTTCTTCTGTTCCACTTTAACTATACAGCTAGTAACTAGTAAGTGGAATTTCAGATTTCTAAAAATCACTAGGTAAAACTTTAAAAAAAAAAAAAAGATGTATTTATTTGAAAGAGTTACACAGAGAGAGGACAGGCAGAGAGAGAGAGAGAGATATCGTCCATCTGATGGTTCACTCCCCAATTGGCCACAACGGCCGGAGCTGTGCCGATCAGAAGCCAGGAGCCAGGAGCTTCTTCCAGGTCTCCCACACGGTTGCAGGGGCCCAAGGACTTGGGCCATCTCAGGCCAGAGCAGAGCTGGATGTGAAGTGGAGCAGCCAGGTCCCGAACCACAGCCCATGTGGGATGATGGTGCTTCAGGCCAGGGTGTTAACCTGCTGTGCCACAGTGCTTTTTTAATGTTGTAATTGGTTTTGTGTTTGGCATATAGGGATCTTGTTCATTATAACAGTCTGTGAGGTTGTTCTATTTCTCTTAAATTACATAGAACTCAGTTGAACTCTGTGTTGTAATTACCCAGTAGAATATACACCTAGGTCTAATTGAATGTATTTAGTTCAAATGACACTGCTAATATTTCAAACAGTGGCTGTTCTGTTGACTTAACTGTGGAAATTCCTGGAATAGAAAATACTTAAAAAGGGACAAATGGTAATTATGCAAAACATCAAGGCCAACATTATACATGAAGTTCTTTCTGAGGTTTGTTTTTTAAATTTTTATTTATTTTCATTTTACTTGAAAGGCAGAGAGATGGAGAGAGATCTTCTACCTGCCCACAAAAAGTGGGGCTGGGCCAGGAACCTGGAACTTAATCAGCATCTCCCCTGTGGGTGATAGGGCTCCAGCTACTTCAGCTGTCACCTGCTGCATTAACCAGAAGCTGGATTGAAAGCGCAGCAGCCAGTACTCAAAACAAGAACTGATTTTTTGCAAGAGTCCCACGCAGCAACCTAACCGCTACACCACACGTCTGCCTGAGATTTCCATTAAAATCTCCTTTATTCCTGTTTCCTCCATGGTGAAGTACTACGAAGGCCATAAGGAAAGTCAAACACAGGAGTGGGTGGTGAGCCCAGTGGTTAGGATGCCTGTGTCCTATGCTCTGGTGCCTGGCTTTGATCCCAAGTCTAATTTCCTGCCAGCGCAGACCCCGGGAGGCATCAGTGATGGCTCAAGTATTTGGGTTCCTGCTATGATGTGGATTGAGCTCCTGGCCCTAACCCTGGCCCAGCCTGAGCCATTGCAGGTATCTGAGGAGAAAACCAGCAGATGGGAGCTCTTTCTCTCTCAAAAAACAAAGACACCATTGCAAGTGTCTTGTGCCCTAGAGGAGCAGTGACCGAAGTGTTTTTGAAGAATTGAAAAATAGTAAAACCTACAAAAAGCCCATCTACTTTGATTGTCAGCATCAGGAACAGTGATAAGAACTCCTTACTGGGCAGAGGCTCCCTCTACCCTACACTTGGGTGCACTATTGCCAACAGAGGCTGCAAATACTTCAGTGCATCTGAGGCATTTGTTTCTGAAGGATATCATTATTAACTTTGTTTTCAATTTTTGAAAATATAAATGTAGAAGAGTAATGTTATCAGTATATTAAGGCAGCCAACAACCTGTTACAAAATTTAAGTGTAAAATATACATAATATGTTTTTTACAGATTTTATTTTTTATTTGAAAGAATTAGAGAGAGAGATATCTTCTGTCTGCTGGCTCACTTCCAAAATGGCCACAACTACCAGGGCTAGGCCAGGCTGAAGCCAAGAGCCTGGAATTCCATCTGGGTCTCCCACATTGGTGGTAAAGGTCCAAGCGCTGATGGTTTCCCAGGTGCATTAGCAGGGAGCTGGACTGGAAGTGGAGCAGCTAGGACTCAACCCAGTGCCCATATGGGCATTGTAGGCAGTAGCCTGAGCTGCTGTGCCACAACACTGCCAGCCCCTTTTTATAATGAGTATTTAAAAAAAAAAATTCCAATGAAATTGAGAGAGGAATTGTAGTCATGAATGACTTTTTTTTTTTTTAAGATTTTTTATTTATTTATTTGAAAGAGTTACAGAGAGAGGTAGATACAGACAGAGAGATCTTCCATCCACTGGTTCGTTCCCCAGATGGCCGCAACACCTGGGGTTGCGCTGATCTGAAGCCAGGAGCCAGGAGCCTCTTCTGGATCTCCCACGCGGGTGCAGGATCTCAAGGACTTGGGCCATCTTCTACTGCTTTCCCAGGCCGTAGCAGAGAGCTGGATCGGAAGAGGAGCAGCCAGGACTAGAACCAGTGCCCATATGGGATGCTAGTGCTTCAGGTCAGGGCTTTAACCCCTGCACCACAGCGCCAGCCCCTCATGAATGACTTTCTACCCTGAACGTTCAGATATTGGTAACCCCATGTTTACAGTCACAAAGAAATAAAGATCAAAACATGTCATACTTGTATTTCATGTTCAAAAATCTATGTTGACCACAAAACTGAACCCTCACTGAAGGATCTGACTGCATTACAATTCATTCTAGGACTTGGTGTAAGACTTTTTTTCCATTTAAGTCATCTATTCTCCAATAAAACATTCATCATTTTATTGGCCTAGACTAATATAAATAAGGCAATGACTAATGGCACAGTTATCCACATTCCTTAAGATCATATGTATTTTTGCTGACTTCTTTGACTCTGAGTTCATAAAAATCTAAAGAACGGAGGGACCAAAAAAATTTAAAATAGCAAAAGAAAACAAAGATTAAAGTACAAAAGCACCTTCACTGGTGTTCTTGCTACCCATGGTGGCCAAATGTAAGCAACTTTTCCAGCTCTGTTATCTGCAACATTCTGGAGTTGAGGCAGGAACTAACTTGGGGCAGAAGCAACTATTTTCTCAAATACTGTTGTCTGTTGTAAATGGAGGAAAAAACAGTGAACAAAAAAAGACATTTTATATACATGATAAAACAATCACAAACATGTTTAGACTAAGGAAAAGCATGTGAAAAACTGTATTAGTATATGTAAAAACAAGTTTATGTGCTTTGGGGGGTTCCCTTATTTTTTCTTTCTTTTGTGAGGGCACTGACTTGATGGAATGACCAGAAACTCGTTTCTAGAATATATTTTCAGAACATTATTTACACGTGTGTCTACATTTATGAATAAAATCTCTCATAGCATATACAAGATGTAAGTTTAACCAAAAGGAAGAGCAAAATCATGTTTTCTACTTCAAAAATCAGTTCACATAGTCATCACCAAATCAACTTACTGTTGATTTGATATAAATGATCGATATATAAGTGGTACATTTTGTTGACAGCCTTTTGCTATGATATTAATATAGCTAAAGGTCTGCATGTTAATGTATAGAAATACATATCATACAAACCAAAGGCAAAAATAAGGAAGACTAGCTGAAAACCAGAGTCTGACTTTAAATAATCCCTGCTAAAAACAAAGCTTCCAACTTAGTTTGTAAATCAGTTGTTTGAAACTTAGGAAGCAGTTACTCACTGGGCTTATGTTATGAACTGTTCATTTTCCAGGTAAGTCATAGAACACTTAATCCAGGATTTAAATGAACTTTAGTGCCATGCTTAAGAGGTAGATGATCCACCTGTTCAGAAGTTGGTTTTGATTTGGTTTCGTTTTCCTGTAGGAACTGGTTTTAAATAGGACCAAAGGAACTCTACTCCAAGGAACTCTAAGGACTAGCCACTGGAAAAAGACCGCCTTATGTCTGCACACAGGACGAGTCTCAGCCTTACGTGCGATGGCTGGAGCACCACAGCAAAGGACAAGGAGAAAGTCTGCCGCAGCGTCAGGTAGGAACAGACTGGCTCAGCCAGGCAGTGCGTAACGCCGCCTCAGGAGGCCTCTGAGTCAGGGGCTTCCCTGCTGCCCTCTCTGAGCACTGATTAGTTTAGGAAACCCAATTTGGAAATACAACAAAAAGTAAGCAAATAATACCTCAAGTCATTATAATGGCATATTTACTATGAAATGAAAAATATAATGAAAAAGCATAAACTATACTTGGCAGGAAAACTGTTTAGTTCTGATTTCTAAATATTACATAATAAGATTTTGACCAAAAAAACTTGAAAGAAAATTTGAGCAAGAATTTCATTTACATATTTCTAGGCCCCGTGTAGTTGGGCCTACCTGTTTGTAAAACCTGACTAAGCAGGTTACAGAAAAAAATCTCAGACTGGAGTGCATTAGATTACTGGCTGGACCTTAGCCCTTCCACATGCACTCCACGTGGCCAGATGTGTCACAACCAGTGTTCTCTGCCTTGACAAACTGAATGTTTCAGTGTGTCCCATCAATGTTTCCCTGTTCCACGGAACTGCATCCAGTTCTCTCATTTGCAGCACAGTGAGAGAAAGGTTGTGGGCGTGGTGCAGGACAGAGATTAACACTTACACTCCATATTAGCAATCCAATAATACAACATTATCATAAGAATATATCCAAAAAAAAAAAAAAAAAAAAGAGCAGAGACCATGCTTAAAAGCTAAGACTGATCACTCAGCTTCTGTGGGGTCTAAGTCTCACAGGTGTCTACCACCCGTGCATTCTGAACAGATTTTCAGCCCTGCTAGAACAAATCAGCAGGTGGTTCTTGCTGTGACACAAACAGTATTTAGCCAGCTTCTTAAAAAATAACAAAGTTTTAGAATACTAGGAATGTAGTTATTGTGTTATAAAATGTCTTTATAATGAAATATACTTTTATATTATATGATAATATACATTTGATGGATATTTTAGCCTATTATTGGATTTGTTCTTCAAATATACCTGGAAGTAATTTTAAACACATTTATAACTGGAAATATTTAAATATTACCAAGAATTAGAATATATGTATTAGGTTATTATGGAAATACAAATTAAAATTCCCCAAATATACCACAGGAAAAATATATGCCAGTAATATACAAAAGGAATAAGAATTCCTTCCTCCCCTTCTTTTTTTTATCCTGAGGGAAGGGCTAGTCAACTTGAGCTTTAATTTTAACACGTTTGACGTATCTACTAAGTTAGAAATTCTAAGTGCCTGTAGTTTTTAAGTCACTAGGTTTCCTGGACACCTCAATGGAGTCTGCAGTCATAGATCCGACCCCCGCTGCGAGACTAGAACGCCGTAATGACAGTTCCAGCGCAGAAATCTGACGTAATTCTTTGCGACACAGTTTTACAGGTGTGACACCATGAAGTTGTCCCACGTTTTCCACTGGCTGAATTTGGGAACATGATCGCCTGTGAGATTTTGAAAACTGATTTTCATCTATTTCTGCTTTATCCTCATTGCTTTGCCCACTGGGAGGTGCTAAAGAGCTACACATTGGAGGCATGTCTGGGCCACCTTCCCAGAGTTTCTGAGGATTTGGTTGTGTTCTGAAGCTGCTCGTGGAACTGTCTGTCTGTCTGTCTCTCCCGCTGAATCTCGCATTCTCGGTTCCGGATGCGCATCTGAATTCCTCTGCCAGCAGCACGCCTGCTGCTGCGTCTGGATCACCAGCTCCACCTCCAGCATCATAATCTGAAATCCCCAGACCACACAATCAGAGGTTAGTCCCTCCAAACCAGGCATTTTTAACCATAACATCCTAAAATGATTCCATTATTATCACTCAATACACACAGTGTCTTCCAGGTTTCTTGTGTTAAATGACGTCTGTTAGGCAAATGTGTGACTATGAATTATTCTTATTTCACTTATAGGCATCTTGCATGTAAATAACTCAGAACTTTAATTAGTAGAACAAAGTTATGAAATAAGTCTTCTACGGATTTTGATGCTTCATGGAAACACAGGCCTGCTCTAGACCTCTGGTGCCTTTCCACACTTGCCCCCTGCTGGGCTTGCCCCTGGTGAATGCCACACCCAGGCCAGGTGAGAATACTACAAAGTACCTCTGGGACTGGGCACTGTATGTGTGAAAATCTGGTCTCAGAATTCCTAGTATGATGGCAGGGTCCTGCTGTCCAAGGGTACTGTGGGGTGTACACCACAAGTTCTGCCATCAAAATGGAGAGAGGGCATACCCCAGCTCAGTGGGCGACACCGCTGGGATGAGTGATTTGAGTGAGAGATCAAAGCCTGGTATAATCTCAAATTATAGACTACCTGATATCAAAGATCAAAATTTGCTTAAAGGAAATCAGGTCCCAGACATAATATGACAAAAAAATGCCAAATGCAGCATATGTTGCTACATGCTTAGTGTATTTTTAGTCTTGTGAGGACAAACTTTAAAAACAGGTTGCACACTGGCAGCTTCCAAGCCAGTCTGACCCACAGACATGTTTTACTTGGCTTATAATGTTAGTAATACTTGACCTAAAATATAAATATTGGTATCATATAAAAATATGGATTTCCAGCTTTTCTAGAAAAATCAGAAACGATAACATAGCAACAGCGGCTGAAGCAGAGCCGCCCCTGCCCATCTAGCTTCCCTGGCTCCTGTAGGCATTCTTTTTTGTAACCCTTCATTTAAAACTTATGGATTTCTAGTTGAAAAATTCTCCCCAAAACAAGACACCCGAACCAGCAAATAACATAGATCCTCACATGGAACTAAAGCAGACACTAAGTTGGCTACAGATTGCTGCAATCATGAGTCACCAGAAAGCTTTCAAAATTCCTGCTGCCCAGGTCAGCACGTCTGGGGAGGAGCAAGCATCTTACTTTTTAAAGACCGCAATGAAGAGCAGAGATGGGCACTCCAGAGCACACTGATTCTTCACAACACAGTTTCCTGCTCTTAAAGTTGTATAACGAACAAAGTAAACAGACTAGGGAGAGAGTAGTTTGCCCAAGGTCATATAGCTAATAAAAAAAAGTTGGGTTTTTTTTTTTTTTTGAAAGGCAGAGTGGACAGTGAGAGAGAGAGACAGAGAGAAAGGTCTTCCTTTTGCCGTTGGTTCACCCTCCAATGGCCGCCGCGGCTGGCACACCGCGCTGATCCGATGGCAGGAGCCAGGAGCCAGGTGCTTTTCCTGGTCTCCCATGGGGTGCAGGGCCCAAGCACCTGGGCCATCCTCCACTGCACTCCCTGGCCACAGCAGAGAGCTGGCCTGGAAGAGGGGCAACCGGGACAGAACCCGGCGCCCCGACCAGGACTAGAACCCGGTGTGCCGGTGCTGCAAGACAGAGGATTAGCCTAGTGAGCCGCGGCGCCGGCCAAATTGGGGTTCTAACCCAGATCTTCTGACTCTGGTACCCTTACATACACTTTTATAGTGATTCAAATTGATACAGGGATTGTTCTGCATATTTAAACTTAAGTAAGTGAGTGGAGACTGTCGATATAAACTGATTTAAAATGTATTATTTGGAGAGACAGACCAAGCGCTCCGAGTTCTCTAGTACGTTCCTCAAATGCCAGCAGTGGTCAGCACTGGATCAGGTTAAAGCCAGGAGCCAAGAAATCAGTCCAGGTCTCCCATGTGTGTGACAATTACTTGAGCCATCATCTGGTGCCTCTTAGGGTTTGCATTGATAGGAAGCTGGAGTCAGGAGGTGGAGCCAGGTATTGAGCCTAGAATTCCAACGTGGGATGCAGATCTACTAACATGTCTTAACTGCCAGGTTAAATGCCTGTCCCCCTAAACTGATTTTATTCTTTTTTTTTTTTTTTTTTAAGATTTATTTATTTGAGAGCTAGAGTTACAGACAGTGAGAGGGAGAGAGAGAGAGAGAGGTCTTCCTTCTGCTGGTTCACTCCCCAAATGGCCGCAATGATCCGAAGTCAGGAGCCAGGAGATTCCTCTGGGTCTCCCATGTGGGTGCAGGGTCCCAAGGACTTGGGCCATCTTCCACTGTTTTCCCAGGCCGTAGCAGAGCACTGGATTGGAAGAGGGGCAGCCAGGACTAGAACCAGCACCCATATGGGATGCCAGTGCCACACACAGGCGGAGGATTAACCTACCGCACCACAGCACCAGCGCCCCTGATTTTATTCTTACAAACTAGTTTAGAAAGCATCCTCGAAAGTATGGAGAAAATATGAAAGGAATTATGCAAAAACCTAAGTATGGTTATGGGAGGCTTGTTTTCTGCTTTTTTCCTATATTTAAAAATGTAATGAGTATATAAAAAGTTTTCAAAAAGTTCATAAAAATGCATATTATGAAAAAACTGCATTCAATATTTTTGCACTAAAATCAACTGATTAAAAAAAGATTTATTTATTTATTTATTTATCGAAAAGTAGAGTAACAGAGAGAGGGAGAGATAGGGAATATCTTCTGTCTGCTGGCTGACTCCCCAAATGGCCCTAACAGCCAGGTTTGAGCCAGGAGTCAGGAACTCCAGCTGGGTCTCCCACATGGGTGGTGGGGTCCAGACATCCTCTGGTGCTCTCTCAGGAGCATTAGCAGGAAACTGGATCAGAAGCAGAGCATCTGAGACTCAAACTGGCACTCTTGATATGATCTCATATCAAGAGTACTGCATTACAAGCAGTATCTTAACCCACTGTGCCACAGTGCCAGTACTTCAACTTATCTTTTAATTCAAATTTTCATCGCTTCTTGGCCTTTTGGCTAAGATCACATGTAATTCAATTTTTCCATGAACTTTACAAAGTACCCTAGTATATTACCTCTTATATCCAATCTTTAAAAAGTTTTAAAATGCTTCTAGGTAAAATAGCAAATTAACTGCTAGACTTCTTAGATATGTTAATCAGACAGGTATTATCCTCATTTTATAGCTCTCTAAGATTTAACTTTTAGCCTTTTATCATTAAAGAGTAGGATAAAAATCTAGGTTTCTGCCGGCGCCGCGGCTCACTAGGCTAATCCTCCGCCTGTGGCGCCGGCACACCAGGTTCTAGTCCTGGTCAGGGCGCCAGATTCTGTCCCGGTTGCCCCTCTTCCAGGCCAGCTCTCTGCTATGGCCCAGGAGTGCAGTGGAGGATGGACCAAGTGCTTGGGCCCTGCACCCCATGGGAGACCAGGAGAAGCACCTGGCTCCTACCTTCGGATCAGCGCGGTGCGCCGGCCGCAGCGTGCTGGCCGCGGCGGCCATTGGAGGGTAAACCAACGGCAAAGGAAGACCTTTCTCTCTGTCTCTCTCTCACTGTCCACTCTGCCTGTCAAAAAAAAAAAAAAAAATCTAGGTTTCTTCAAATTATACCACCATACAACACTGTTATTTAGAAAGGAATGGTGCTGGTGCTGTGGCATAGCAGGTTAAGCCACCACGTGCAGTGTCGGCATCCTATGTGGGCTCCAGTTTGAGTCCCAGCCCCCTGCTAATGTTCCTGGGAAAGCAGTGGAAGATGGCTCAAGTCCTTGGGCCCCTGCACCCACGAGGGAGACCTGGAAGAAGCTCCTGGCTCCTGGCTTCAGACTGGCCCAGCTCCAGCTCTTTGGGGAGTGAATCAGCAGATGGAAGACCTCTCCCTCTGTCTCTCCTGTCTGTAACTTTGCCTCTCAATTTAAAAGTTAAATGAGCCAGCGAATAGAAGATCTCTCTCTCTGCCTCTGCCTCTCCTTCTCTGTAACTCCACCTTTCAAGTAAAATAAATAAATCTTAAAAAAAAGGAAGGAAGGAAGGAAGGAAGGAGGGAGGGAGGGAGGGAGGGAGGGAGGGAGGGAGGGAGGAAGGAAGGAAGGAAGGAAGGAAGGAAGGAAGGAAGGAAGGAAGGAAGGAAAGAAGGAAAGAAAGAAAGAAAGAAATGTCTGGAGGGCCAGCATGCAGTGCAGCGGGGTCAGCCACCACTGTGCCCTGGCTTCCCCTATTTATGTGAGTGTTCACGGCCTGGCTGCTCCACCTCTGATTCCGTTTCCTGCTGATGTGGCTGGGAAGGCAGCTGATGATGGCTGCAGTGCTTGAGTCCCGGGTACCCACGTGGAGGATGAGGCTGCAGGTCTGGGCTCCTGGTTTCAGCCTGGATTAGACCTGGCAGTTGCAGTTATTTGTGGAGTGAACCAGTGGCTGGAAGATCGATACTCTCTCTCCCTCCCTCCCTCCCTCTCTCTCCCTCCCTCCCTCTCTCTCCCTCTCCCACCCTCCCTTCTTCTCCCTCTCTCTCCCCTTCTCTCCTTTCTCTCTCTCCCCCCTTTCTCCTTCCCTTTCTCTCAAGTAAGTAAATACATAAATCTTTTTAAATGTTCCGTACACACTAATAAACATGAGCCATTTACAAACTAAATACCTTATTTTAAATATTTGAAATTTGAAAATAGATTTTTTAAAAATTGAGAGACAGTTAAGAGCTCCCATCTACTGGCTTACTTGCCAAATGCCTGCAATGGCTGGAACTGGGCTAAGCCAGAACCAGAAGCCGGAACTCAATCCTGGTCTCCCGTGTGGGTGGAGGAAACCAACTACCTGAACCACCACCCCTATTTCCCAAGGGTCTGTGTTAGCATTAAGCTGGAGTCAGGAAACGGCACGGGGTATCAAACCCAGGTACTTTGATGCAGGTGTCTTTTTTTTTTTTTTTTTTTTGACAGGCAGAGTGGACAGTGAGAGAGAGAGACAGAGAGGATGCGGGTGTCTTAATTGCCAGACTAAACGCCTACTCCTTGAAAGTAGTTTTTTTTTATTTTTTTAGAAATAGATTTATTGATTTAGTAGAGTGGCAGGGAGAGGCAAAGATCTTCCATCTGCTGATTCACTCCCCAGATGGCAACAGTCAAGACTAGGACAGGATGAAGCTGGGAGCCCAGAAATCCATCTGGGTCTCCCACATGGGTGGCAAAGGCCCCCTTACTGGGTCATCATCTGCTGCTTTCCCAGGTACATTAGCAGGGGCTGATTGGGAAACGGAACAGCTGGGACTCAAGGTGGCACTCTGATATGGGCACCATGCACGTAGTGGCTTAACCCACTGTGCCATAACAATGGCCCCAAAAGTGGATTTTCAAAAAGCTAACATGGTCTTGTGCTGATTGTTCTCTGTTTCTTAATGTTTTGCAAGTAGTATTTCAAGTTGTAGTTTCAGCTATATTTTGCAAGGCAGTATTTCATATAAATGTTTGAGTTGTATCAGTAAGCACTTTTGTATTACCACACTGAAAATCTTTTGTGGGATTTGTATGTTTATGTCCCATCTTTATCCTGAGACAACTTCTAGAATACTGAACTAGGAGTCAAAAGAGGAGAGACCTTAAAATATGATTTAATTATTGTTCTGTTCATGAGTCCCTTGGCCTCCCTAAACTTTACTGCTTTATCTAAAAATAAAGTTAGCAGGGGTGGGCACTTGGTGCTGCAGTTAAGATACCCGTGTCCCATACTGGAGTGCCTAGGTTTCAGTCTTGGCTCCACTTCCAGTCCAATTTCCTGTTAATGCACACCCTGGGAGGCAGCACCTAATGGCTCAAGTAGCTGGATCCCTGCCACCTTTACAGGAGACTCCAATGGAATTCCCAGCCGTGGCTGTTAAAGGTATCTGGGGAGTGAACCAGTGGATGGAAGATCTATGTCTTTCAAATAAATGGAAATAAAAATGAGGTTAGCAGTTACCAGTCTACTGTGAGTTTGAGGGTTAAATGAAATTATTTGTGAAAATGTGATTAATATAAACATAATGTAGCATTAGAATTACTTTTTAAAAATATTACTGAGTCATATTTTTAACAAATGTTAATTCTGCTTCTATTATCTATTCACATATACTTTTTAATTGTACATACATGTAATTTCTCAGTGGTTTCTTTACATGTGTGTCTCCATCTTTAAGCAGTTTTCTTTATAGGTATAAAATAGGTGTATTGCTAAAAGGTTTTAAAGTCAACTTTTCATAAATCATACTTTATTAAAAGGATATTGTCTCTAAAGGAAGGCTAATTCTTTTATATAAAATGTAAACTATTATTTGAGAAATACTGATTACTGTCTTAAAGAGGATACATTTTAATCATAACAAAATACTACCTTTATGGTGCTTCTAACTTTTTTTTTAAGATTTATTTATTTGTTTGACAGGCAGAGTTACAGAGGGCAACTGGGAGAGAGAGAGAGGTCTTCCATCCATTGGTTTACTCCTCAAATGGCTGCAATAGCTGGGAATGGGCAGGTCCAGAGACAGGAGTCAGGGGCTTCTTTGGGGTCTCCCACGTGGGTGCAGGAACCCCCTTCCACTGCTTTCCCAGGCCATTAGCAGGGAGCTGGCTTGGAACTGGAGCAGCTGGGATGAGAACTGGCCCCTATATGGGGTGCTGGCACTGCAGACAATGGCTTAACTGCTGTGCCACAGTCCCGACCCCAGTGCTTCTAACTCTTGCAGAGTATCTGATGTGTCTTATGTCAATTAGGCAAGTGCCAACTCTACATACCAGTGGCCTTTACTTTTATTCCTCTCTGTTGTACATCTTTTTAATCATGATAAGAAGGCTTAATTTACTATAAAACAGGACAGGATTATTTTAAGGATTAAAAAAGTTAAGAATTACAGAGCCCCTGGCACATGGCACACAATAAATGATTGTTTCCTTGTCATATATACATTTTTTATTCATTTACTTCTCATTTGGTTTTATCTTACTATTTTTGTCTACAGAGACAAAAAGAAGGGAAATATTTAATGTTAAATCACCTAATCAATCAAGAAAGGCTGCACTACTAATCAAGCATGACTTCACCAAATGCTAGAGAAACAGTTTCTGCGTGATAAGTAAAACTGGAAGTCTTACTTTCCATTGTTGCTAGTTGCCGCCGAACTAACAGTTCTTTAAGTTTCTTCTTAAGATCTCTGCTGGTTTTCTTATAGAAATAAAGATCTTTTTCCAATTGCTGGATTTTATCTTCATATGTTTTTAAAATTTCTGTAGTATCTTCTCCACCTGACTCTATAAAATAGAAACTTAAATTTAAAATCAAAAAAGAATTCACAGTTAAGTTTTAACATAGCCCCAGCCTAAAGGGTCAGAAATCTGTTCCACACTTCTGTTACCTGAATGGAGTAGTTTTCAGCTACAATTTGGATTCTTCTACCTGTGATGTTTTTCTAAGGACTGAGCCCTTAGTCACATTTTCTATCCTATGCCCTACTAACCACCAAATTTTCATGATTCACAAGCATTTTTGCTAGACTTATGCTTAAAGCAGCAGAATAAGGTGTTTTCTATTAGAAGTTTCTGTTGGGAGCTCTGTCCATCTGCAATTTATAACAGGAATTGTGGTTATGTGGAAATTCATAAGCCTAAGGTTTAAAGGTCCAAGAAATAGATAGCCAAAAACCCCACAAAAAACAACTGGTTAAAAGAGACGAGAAAGATTAAGTCCCAAAGGAAAGCACCATGGACAAAGAAGAGGGAGCACAGCCAGCGTCAGTAAAGTTCTAGTTCAGGCCATAAGACAACTGAAAGCTGCTGATTAATGTTTATGAATGTCTCATGCTATCCACACTAGGTTCTGCTCTGGAAACAGGAAATACAGAAGGCTAACTGCTATAGTTTGAGTAAGATTTAACTCCCAACTCATGCAGGATAAGTCCTAAGGATCTAAGGATCCCAAAGTCGTGTAAGTGGGTGGGAGGTGGGCTATGGGAGGTCCCTAGTCGGGGCATGCTCTGACAAGGTCATTATGATAGGGGGTGGTTATAGAAGCCCGTGGGGACCAGCTGTTCTTTCTGATTCCTGGCTCACCAGGTGATCCCTCCTCTGCATGTGCTATGCCACTGCCATCCTCAGGCCTCACCAGACAGATGCCCAACTAATGAAGCCGCGGACCTCCCAAACGGTGCGCCAAATAGACATCTTCCTTCAGGTGTTTAGCTGTAGTGACAAATCTGAATAATACTGCTCTTCAAAAGACACTTTCTGACCTACTCTCTCCTACTGGCACACTTAGAAAGAGGTCCTCCTAGTTGGTAATTTTCTTGTTATAATTTGCTATTTTGTAAAATTTATTTAAGTATAATTGTATATTTTAAGTTAACTCATCATGTTTTCAAAAATACTTAAAATTAACGATATTGTAAATCATAATCTCCATACTACATCATATAAATAAACTTAATTTTATGTCCCAAATTCACCAGAAATTGGAAGATTCATAATTGTTAATATATTAAATTATGACTTTGTTATAAAAAACTTATATACTTATAGAATGAGATGATTGATTTTTCAATCTGATTCCAGTCACTTTAAAAACAGTTAAAATTTTGATTAAAATGTCACTTTTAGAGACTTAAAATTAAACTAAGGAAAGAAGAGCACGTTTGAATGCAATGATGCATGTGGTATCCTGCCAAGGAAATCTTGTCATTAGGCAACTGGTGGCTAATTAACCAGTTACAGAATTCATTTAGAGGCAGATTACCTCAACACTCAAATTCATATATTTTCTAATTTTCTGCAAATTCATGTTGCTTCTTCTTCATTGCTTTTGACCAATTTTCAGCTTTCAGATTCATGAGAATGAAGACCAAGAAGCTTGGACTGAAGCAGTAATGGTCCTGATTGGCAGTGATTCGGTTGCTATAGTAGCTGTTTGGCTGTTCGTATACTGGCCATCTGCCTGGGGTCCATGGGGCTCGGTGACGGTGATGACTCTCTGGCCTGACTGGAATTGATAGTTGAACAGCTGCTCACTGACAACAGTATGTGCCTAGAAGTGGTAGACCAGTTTTAACCCAAGATACAAACTTTAATGTGTGAAATCTGGTAATCAAAAATTATACTAAGAAATATATCTAGGAATGTACGGAAGGGCCTAACAGAGCCTATCACTTTAGGTGGATGGAAAATATTTAAATATCATAATACTATTTCCCTGGGAACTAGACGCATATTTTCATCAAAAACTAGATCAACCACAGACTAGCCGGCTTGCAGCAGTTTTTATATGTGTGCTGGGGGCCAGCAGAAGGAACAGCATTTCAGGTATGATAGCCCAGTATGAAAGTCAACTCTCCCAATTCATGGTAACCAAACATGTAAAATAAAATAACCTACTACTTACAGTAGTCACTGTTTATTCCAGTGTACTTCAGAAATTTCATGGAAAATGACTAATAGAGTATGCTTATTTTGGTGCAAAATTTTTTTGGAATCCATGCATACTAGAGGTCTTCAAAAAAGTTCATGGAAAATGCATGGAAGGTAGAGAGAGAGAGATATCTTACACATGCTGGCCTACTACCCAAATGCCCACAACAAACCAAGGCTAGGCTGGGCTGAAGCCAGGAGCCTGAAACTCCATATGGGTCTCTAACATGGGTGGAACAGACACAAGCATTTCAGCCATCATCTTCTGCATTTTTTTTCCTGCATTAGCAGGAAACTGGATTGGAAGTGGAGTAGCTGGGACTCAATCTAACACTGCAATATGGGGTCATTCCAAGCAGCTATTTAAAATATTGCAAGGTAATTCCTGTCCCCTCAAAATTTTTTGCACCCAAACATCTCTCTCTCTTTTTTTTTTTAAGATTTATTTATTTGAAAGGCAGAGTTACAGAGAGGCACAGAGAGAGAGAGAGAGAGAGAGAGAGAAGTCTTCCATATGCCAGTTCACTCCCCAGATGGCTGCAATGGCCAGAGCTACGCCGATCCAAAGCCAAGAGCCAGGAGCCTCCTCTGGGTCTCCCACGCGGGTGCAGGAGCCCAAGGACTTGGGCCACCTTCCACCACCTTCCCAAGTCACAGCGGAGAGCTGGATTGGAAATGGAGCAGCTGGGACTTGAACCAGCGGCCATATGGGATGCAGGTACTGCAGACTGGGGCTTTAACCCGCTGCGCCACAGCGCTGGCCCCCAAACATCCTTCAGAACCATTTTGCCGCGAACTTTCTGAAGCACCTTTGTACCTACTGGGCCTTTTACATGATCAAAATCTCTTTATCTTCCCTCCTCAATTCCCCCTACACATTACCTTCGCATAACAGATGAAAAGGGGCAGTTACCTCTGAAATGATGTAACAGCAGCTGCATCTTTTGCTCATGTTCCTTTTGCTGGAGGGTCAGTCTCCGGTCACACTGCAACTTCAGATGTTCCAGTGCAGACTCCAGCTCCCGAACCATGTTGTCCCGTTCCAGAACCTTCATTTTGATCTCTTCATTCTCTAATTGTTGTTTCCGTTCAGCTTCTCGCAAATTAACCACCTGGCAAATACAAATTTTTACCTTTTAAGTGCATCTAGATAACCTAATAAGATTAATTTACTTTTCTTAGGCTACATAAAACTGATTTTCCTTACTTTCTCAAATAGGAGGGTATTTCAAAATGTTCATGGAAAACGGAATTAAAAGATTTTTGGTGCAAAAAATTTTTGAAATCCATGCATAATTTTTTCAGAATATGCTTTTTCATGAACCTTTTTTATAATATTTTTATTTATTTATTTATTTGAGAGGTAGAGTTACAGTGAGAGAGAGGTAGAGACAGAGAGAGAGGTCTTCATTCCTTTGGTTCACTCCCCAAGTGGCCACAACGGCCAGAGCCAGGAGCGAAGTGCTTCTTCCTGGTCTCCCTTGCGGGTGCAGGGACCCAAAGACTTGGGCCATCTTCTACTGCTTTCCCAGGCCACAGCAGAGAGCTGGATTGGAAGAGGAGTAGCCGGGACTAGAACTGGCGCCCACATGGGATGCCAGCACCGCAGGCGGAGGATTAACCTACTGTGCCACAGTGCCAGCCCCTTCATGAACCTTTTGAAGAATCCTTATATATATGGATTTCAACATTTTTTACAGAAGAATTTCATTTTTTTTCTTTCTCTGTTTTTTTTTTTTTAAACTTATACAAATGGTAGAGTGACAGATGAGACAGAGACAGAGACAGCCAGAGATCCTCCATCCACTGATTCACTTCCCAAATGCTTATGACAGCCAGGACCAGGCTGGGTCAAAACCAGAAACCTGAAGCTTGATCCATGTCCCAAACAGATGCCAGGACCCAGGTACTTGAGCTGTCACTTGCTACCTCCCAGGGCACGCACTAGCAGGAAGCTGGATTTGGAAGCAGAGCCAGGACACCAACACAGGCATTCTGATGTGGGATGTGAAAACTTACCTTTTAATTCTGTTTTTCCCAAACTTTCTGAAGTGCTCTTGTCTAAGTGATTCCTGCATAAGTGTTGGATCCCAAGGCAAATTCTTTGACCCTAGCCACAAAATAACCTAACAGCCTTTTGAATTTGCTTGGATTCAGAATTGGTAACAGTGTGGTTTTCTTCATGTGGGTGGTAGGGATCTGAGTACTTGGGCCATCCTCTACTGCCTCCCAGGGTGCATTAGGAGGAAGCTGGGTCAGAGGCAGAGTACTAGCTAGGACTTGAATCAGCACTCCAGTGTGGGATGCGGTGTCCCAAGCAGCAGCTTAACCTACTGCATCACATTTGCCCAGTAACACTTTTATAATGTTATAATGTTTTATAATAACTTTTATAATACTGTTCTAATAAGCACTTCCTCCATCGTTTCTTAGATGTGAGTGCTGCAGTTTACAATTTATATTGCCGTAACTCTATTTCTCTAACTGGATTCTGAGACACTAAAGACTCTTTGTAACATCTAGGTAGTTCCCAGTTTTAATTCCAAAGTGGACATTATAAGTAATTTTTAAAACTATAAATACAGAATACAGTTTCAAGTCATGTATATTGATAATCTTCTGTACAGAAAACTACTCATTTCCACAAAGGGTTCTCAAGATCAGAAAAATCTGACCTTGGCCAGGGTACCTGTGGTAAGAACCCTCACTCAAAAAGCACCATAAGAGTCAGCAAAGGCTGGGGCAGTACTCCGCCATTTTTCTTTCCTGCAGACACCAGCGACAGGATATGCCCTCAGCCTCAACACTGGCTTACTGCTGACGGGTTAGCCAAGAGAGGCTGTGGGTAATATTTTCATCTATGTTTCATAGGTTTGGAATTGTATTTAATACACAGTTTTAAAAAGGGCCTTGAAAAAGTTTGTGAAAAACATGTATTATGAAAAACCTTCATGGATTTCAACATTTTTGCATCAAAATTATCATTTAATTCAACTTTTCCACAAACTTTTGGAAGTACCCTCATATATCCTATGTGGAACAGGTACTTGATAAATACATTGAGTGGAAAAGACCTTAGAAAAAAGCTGAGTATCAGTGAATATCAGTGCTATGAAACATCTTTCGATTAGTCAACTGTCAAGTTCATATAAAATATTTTAATTGACTTGAACACATTCAGGTTAATCAAATCCATTGCTGTCTTTACCACTGAACTACCATTTCACCTCCATTTTAACTCACCAGTTAGGATGAGAAAGTACAAGTTCCCCTACTCTAACAGCAATGAAGAAAGGGAATCAAAATTTGGAGAGCCCCTGATTTGTCATGAATGCTATGTGGCAACACCCAAATCTAGAAAACATTCAAGAAATAGTAAGGAATATAACTTAAATTCCTTGGTTTTAAAAACTACTTTTAGGGACTGTGTTGTGGTGTAGTGGGTAAAGCTGTTGTTTGCAGCACCGGCATCCCATGTGGGCACTGGTTCAAGTCCCAGTTGCTCAACTTCTGATCCAGCTTCCTGCTAATGCACCTGGGAAAGCAGTGGAAGATGGGCCAAGTGCTTGGGCCCCTGCACCCACATGGGAGACCTGGAAGAAGCTCCTGGCTCCTGGCTTCGGAGTTCCAGCTGTTGTGGCCAACTCGGGGGTGAACCAGTGGATGGATGCTCTCTCTGTGTTTCCTCTCTCTCTAATTATGCCTTTCAAATAAATGAATTTTTTTAAAAAGCTGCTTTTGAAAGATCTTCTTTTGAAAGGGCCTCTGACTTTTTAAAAAGTTTATTTGAAAGGCAGAATGAGAGACAGAGAGATCATCCATCTGCTGGTTCACTCCGCAAATGGCTGTAATAGCTGGGGCCATGCCAGGCCAAAGCCAGGATCCCCACACGGATGACAGGGACCCAAGCACTTGAGCAGTCGTCTACCTCCCAGAGTGCACATTAGACAGAAGTGTAGGTGGGACTCAATTCCAGGCACTCCTATATGTGATACGGACTTCCCAAGCGGCAGCTTAACCCACTGCATGAGAACACCCACACCCTAAGGCTCTCCAGCTTACAGTTGCTGTACATATTTAAATAATCACAGAACTTTCAGATGACCACATTCCATACTGCAAGGAGACCTGCTTATTGTAGTTACACAGACACACCCTTAAGCTATTTAATATCTTTAAAAATTCAAAATGGATATAGGCAATACAAGGGTACTAATGGCAAAATGGAATTTAAAAAGTTTATTTTGGTGCCAAAAAATTTGAAAGTCACACATAGCTTTTTTTTCATAACACATTTTTCCCATGAACTTTTTGGAGGCCCCTTGTATGCATAGATTTCTAAAACTTTGTGGCAAAATAAACTTATTTTTAAATTCCATTTTCCATGAACTATTTGAAGTTTCCTCTCATATAAGCATCTTGATTCTTCTTAATAAGAAAAATACTCTGTTTCTTAAAAACCAACCTTATTGAAATATCTGAAAAGAATAGCTCTAATCTCAACAGGATTCAGGCAAACTAGCTTTTCCAAGACATTTGCTTCGCTGTGGGAGAGGTTTCGGATTGATGCTCTGAGCGAATTCTGGCGACACTGGATATTTTCATTCTTGTATTCAATTGCAGCTTCCAAAGCTTCAATTCCTTCTTCAAGTTGGAAAAGAACATGTTCTTCCTAGACACAATACGATAGAAGTCACTCATTTTAAATGAAATAGTATACTTGGACTTGGTCATATGCTCAGATTGTACTAATGAACTTTTACTGAATTTCAGGAAAATGTTTGAGTTCTTGCTGTACTATATATACATATATAGCATATAATCCCTCAACCCTCCTACTAAAAATACAATGAAAGAGGCAGATGAGTATTGAAACGTCCTAAGGTCAAATGTTAATACCTATCCAAGGATTATACTCCAACAAGACCTCAGCAAAGCCTCAGCCTCAGGTTGGCAGTACTGTCAGCTACAACATAACTCCTGGCATATATATTCCATGTCAGGAAGTCCATGAGTGAGAGCCAGAGACCCACTGCTGCCCCTCTGATGATCTATCCAAACAATACTGGGAAGGACTGGCGCTGTGGCAAAGTGGGCTAGGCTGGCACCTGTGGTTTCCAGCTGCTCCTCTTCCGATCCAGCTCCCTGCATTTATGCCCTGGGAATGCAGTAGAAGATGGCCCAAGTACTTGGGCCCCTGCACCCATGTGGGAGACCCAGAGGAGGCTCCTGGCACCTGGCTTCAGATTGGCCTACCTCTGACCCTTGCAGCCATTTGGGGAGTGAACCAGCAGATGGAAGACCTTTCTCTCTGTCTTTCCCTCTCTCTGTCTGTAACTCTACATCTCAAATAAATAACTAAAATCTTAAGAGAAAAATATACATAGACTTCAAAAATTCAGAAACTACATAGATTTAAAGAATTTTGCATCACAATAAACTTTAGTTTCATTTTTTTCCATAAACTTTTTGAACCATGCTCATGTACTGCTAAGAGGGAAAGAAGGAAAATTTAAAATAAATTATGAAGAGCCAGTAATTGAGGGCCAGTGTTGTGATACACCAGGTTAAGCTGCCTCTTGGGATGCCCACATCCCCTATCAGAGTGCTGGTTCAAGACCTGCCTACTCCACTTCTGGTTCAGCTTCCTGATAACTTTCCTGGAAGGCAACAATTAATGGGTCCCTGCACCCACGAGGGAGACCTGGATGGAGTTGCTGGCCCCTGGGTTTAGTCTGGTCCAGCCCTAGCTGTTGTGGGTATTTGGGGAGTGAACCATTACAATGGAAGATCTATCTTCTCTGTCATTCCGCCTTTCAAATAAATAAAAATAAATCTTTTATAAAGAAGTCTTATTTAAAAAGAAGAAGAACCAGTTATCTGTGGAGAGTCTCTGGAGAAAAGCATAGTGTGATAGTAAAAAAGTAATGAGGACTAGGGCCATGAAACAGTTCATAAGTTTCCTATGGAATGTTATTGGAAGAAAAATAGAGGCCTTAAAAATGGTGGAAGCCAAATTTTTTTCATATGATAGAACTTTCCTTTGGAAGGAAAAAAAGAAGCCTGCTGAATCCTCCCTGTCATAAAACCTATCAGTTCTTTGAATTATCCAAATATATGTAACTTGGGGGATCCAGACCCTGAAAGAAATGATTACAGATTGGTGAGATGTGTACAGATGTTTCTATAGACATAAACTGTGGAGGTCACCTAAACTTTCGGTTCCTTGAGGACAGACTGTGTGTCCATCCTGTATTCGTATTACCCAGCACAGTACCTGTCACATAGTTTAAACTTACTCAGCTTACTGTTGAGTAAGTTAAGGAAGGAAGAGCTGAAAAAAATAACAGCAAGCATCAAAAAGTTTATGGGAACATGGGATTAGAGATAAGTTTATTTTGGTACAAACAATTTTGAAATCCATGCATAGTTTTTTCATAGTACACATTATTTCCACGAACTTTCTGAAGATCCTTTGTGTTTTCCTTTATCTCTGGTTTACTACGTGACCCAAGCATTTTTTTGTACTCTTCCTCCCCCCACACATCTGAAATGAAAGTACCATATTTATGTTTGACCTAAAGAATAGTTAGAGTGACTTCCATAGCTCCAGTTCTGGAATTCAGGGAACTGGCATGTAATAACCTATTCCAGTAGGAAACCATTTTATAAAATCTTTGAAAAAAAAATGTTCAACAACCATTTTATTTCTCTGTGTAATCACTATCAGGAATCTAAGTTTTTGATAAGTGTTTGATACAGGACAAAAATGATATTTTTTTAGACTTAAATACCCAAAGGTATTTAGGTAGATAATTAAAAGAAACCACAAAATAAAAGTGAATTACCCTGACTACTGAATTCTTTTGATTTATAATGTAATGTGATTATATTTTACCAAAAACAAATATGAATAGTTTGACTGTATACATGGCTGAGAACAGGGTAAACTTAATGCCCACAGTTATGAAAGTACTGAGATAATATACAAGTGTGTCGTGACTTCAGAGCCCGAGGCTAGCCTGCTGCGTGAGGCTGCAGCATTTAACAGTGCGTGGTTCCCTGTAAGCTGACGGGAGAAGTGGTCATGGAAAACTGTCCTGGATGAAAACTCTGCCCCAGAACAAACCACAAATTATCAAGAGCTGACCACGCTTTATCTCAGAGTCCTGCTTTTCAAACTAAGGTACACAAAAGAGCTTGGTAAAATTTGAATCCTGATTGAGCAGGTCTGAGTGAGGGTGAGAATCTGCATTTATTTATTTATTTTATTTGACAGGTAGAGTTATAGACAGAGAGAAAGGTCTTCCTTCCATTGATTCACCCCCCAAATGGCCACCACGGCTGGCGTGCTGTGTCGATCCGAAGCCAGGAGTCAGGTGCTTCTTCCTAGTCTCCCATGCAGGTGCAGGGCCCAAGCACTTGGGCCATCCTCCACTGTCCTCCTGGGCCACAGCAGAGAGCTGGACTGGAAGAGCAACCGGGACAGAATCCGGCACCCATATGGGATGCCAGCGCCACAGGCGGAGGATTAATCAAGCGAGCCAGGGCGCCAGCCCCGAGAATCTGCATTTCTAACAAGCTCTGGTGTTGCTGTTGGTCCAGAGCCTACACCGTGAGCAGCAAGGACCTAGTTCAGTGTTCTGCAAACACGATTGATGACTTATCCCCATCAGTAAAAAACAAAACAGAAGAAACACAGCTTTAGAGAAGCACTGCAGAAATGTGTATCTTGCTATAAACTATATGAATGTTCTAATCATAAAACATGGAATTGAAAGTTTAAAAGGTAAAAGTTACAATGTTTCCTGTATTTTCTTTGTTTGCCCTACTTACTAGGCAATTATTAGGAAACTAGAATTCAAGTAATCTTTTACATTTTTAACTTGTTTCTGGCTTCTGTAAAACAATGTGGTTTGTCTGTAGTAAATTGTTGGGTAATTCTCTCTTAGTGTAAAATGTTTTTATCACTTCCCATAAACTAATATTTTTAGGGAAAATATTTTAATTTATTGTGGAAAGAAAAAAACAATTCTAATCAAGTTTAAAGATACCAAAAGAGTAAACCATTCCATCCAGATTTTACTGATGTCTTGTGTCACTTTAGAGTCTCGGGCTTCTGATCATTTCCTATTGGCTGATCTATTGGGAACATTAATCTCGGCTTTAAAATAGTGGGAAGAGCAGAGCCTGCTTCAGAACTACACTAAGAAGAACCAACTGTGCGGAAGAAGGGTCCAGAGAAGCTCATGTGCCTGAGAGGAACCCCAGCGATTGCAGGAGGGCCATCACTCCCTCTAACCAGTCCGAGAGGCTGCTAAATAAGTATATCATATATGTCCCATATTTCTACCATGAATCCATAAAATAAGTTTTTTTCCTGTAATTTTTTTTATTCGTTGAGAATATGAGAGAAACAACAGAGAGAGAGACAGACATCTAGTGGCTCACTCCTCAAATGCCCACAATAGCAGAGGCCAGGCTGGGCAGAAGGCAGGAGCTGAGAACTCAACCCAGATATCCTGCATAGATGCAGGGACTCAACTTCTTGTTCATCATCTGCTGTCCACCAGGGTCCACATTAGCAGGAAGCTAGAATTGGGACCCAGAGCCAGGACATGAACCCAGGAACTCGGATGTGGACACTAGGATCCTACCTGGTGTCTTGACCGCTAGTTCAAATGTCCACCCCCACCCCCAATAGTGTTTTTTACAGAATGCCACATGAAATAGAATCCTAAGTATTTCTTGAAAATAATGATCCCTATGTTTCTGAAATCATAATTTGCTCATTCTCATGTCTACACTACATTTAACAGTATTCTAAGATGGCTTTCTTGTTTTTCATAATCTAGCTCAAGATTCTAATCCACCCAAGTTGCCTTGATGAATTGTCCTCCAAGTGATCACTGGGCTGCTTTGCATAAATAATGTGATACAAGGACAGCTTCCTTATGTCATACATAACTTTCTTTTTTATATTTTTAGGGCTTAGAGTTTTCTATTTTTCTTTTCCCAGACAGAATATGAATTTCCCAAGGGAAGGATAAGACAATACTTTTTGCTTTTTAAATTTCTTCTATAGGGCTAATGACAGTCCTGAAAAGGAAGAATTCCTGAGTACTTAAGTTTTCCTGTAGCTTAAAATCTCCTGCCTTCAAATCTACAAGCTTGGGGCTCCAATTTGGGAGGGCAGCAAGATTCTATGATCCTCTGCACAGCTTATTCAAGTCAGATTATAGAACAGAGCAGCAGACGTATATAATGTTCCTTTAGCCCCCACTAAACAATAATCTAACTTCATACTGTTGTTTCTCCTACTTCTTAATTAGCTCCCTGAACAGCCTCTCACTTGCTCCAGTCTAAAACAGTCACTACTAGATTCAGCAAGGTGAGTGACTTCCAGCTACTAACCTGCTTGTAGCATTTTCCCCTTTCTTTGGGAAGGGATGGGGCATCAGCAGTAAGTATTTGCAGAGAAAATTCAGGCTCAAAAATTACTCTTTGTATGAAAAGTTCCCATTACCAACTGAACTTAAAAAAGACAAAGTCTGGGACAATTTGATAACAAATGACTCATCTTTTACATAGTTTAAAGAAGTAAAAATGAGAAGAGCCATATACTCTCCTCAATGAAAACTGCAGCCAAGTCATTTTACTATGATTTGAATTTTGTACCTCCATTTGACTAGATGTGGAATACGGTCCCAAACATCAGCCTTTCTCAGCCAAGGTTCCATGGAATCACTGTATGTAATAAATGACCAAGTATCACTCAAGAACCATGAATAGAGACAAGTCGGTGCCCTCCCTGGAAGAACTGAGAACTCACAACACTTTCTGTGCTCTGAGATTTCAGATGAGAAGTCCATAACCAGGGAAAGCACTCCTAACACCTGGCAATGCCCACAGGGGCCGTGACAGGACTGCAACGGGAGGACATCTCCGTCCTTAGCTGGGCCTGGTTTATGGTGCCAAACAGGTGCCAGGTGAACTCATTGCATCTGACAAAGGCTCAAGGAAACAAGTGCACCAGATTGATCATTTTTATGGGGATGTGACAGAGACCGAGGATGTTACTCCGGAGATCCATCATCATACAGCACCTCCAGTTCCAAAGAATACTGACTTACTTCAGGTGACAGCAAGCGACCGCTTTGCAGTTTTTCGTCCACACTGTTTCTTCGTTTCTGGAGCTGATCCCTTTCTTTCTGGAGGGCGTGAACTTGTTCAGAAATCTTTATTTTCTCCTCTGCTGTGCTGCCCTGCAGCTGTGCATTCTTCTCAAACAACTCTTCATCCAGCAAGTTCAGGCGAGTTGATATTTTCAAACTATCTGTGTTTAAGGCCTAGAAAGACATAACCCGCCAGATACCCCAAAAACAGTTACTAGAAATCCAGACTGTACATAAATTAGGGAAAACACAGAGAAAGCTCCTGAATGGATATGTGTTTAGTTTTCATATTACTGTTTTTTCCCATGCATTTTTGTGGGGAGGAAGGGAATTTCAATTTCTAAAAGGCTGAATAGCACTTTTCACGTAGATTCAAACTATGAATTTGCTGCCAAGAATTGCCTTTGGTTGCCTTTGAAAAGCAGATTTTCTGGTTTTTATATTATTTTTAAATTGAAATTTTCTTCCTTGGCCTATTACACTATATAATTATATTTCAATTTCCTAGAGGTTGAAATCTGCTGTGTTTAAACATATAAGTAGTTGGTTTAAACGCAATTTGTTTTTACTTTTATTTCATTCTGCTCAGAAAACAAAGCCAGAATAATGGAGATACTCATTGTGGCCTATTTGAGATAAACTGTGACTGTTTTGCGACTGTAATTGTATGTATACACAACCATAATACGTACTCACTGTCATGGGTCTGTGATTTCTAGAAGAGCACTCTACCCCAGCGTTCCCCGGAGTCCCCTTCCCGGAAACAGCCTCACCAACCTCGCTAGCTATTCCTTTGATGCTTAGATCCAGGTTTCTAAATAGCGTTATCGTTTTTATATACCATACATTAACTGTGTATTTTATGAGATGAGGATTTAGCCCTCTTGTATCTTCTCTATTTCCTCCCCCTTTCTCCATTCTTGCAACATGTTATATTACAGTTTTTAGTTAAATCAGTATGCATTTACATTGCTATTATGGTGATGATGATGATGATAACTTTGTGACTACTCAAAACTCAACTATGGCCGGCGCCGCGGCTCACTAGGCTAATCCTCCGCCTAGCGGCGCCGGCACACCGGGTTCTAGTCCCGGTCGGGGCGCCGGATTCTGTCCCGGTTGCCCCTCTTCCAGGCCAGCCCTCTGCTGTGGCCAAGGAGTGCAGTGGAGGATGGCCCAGGTGCTTGGGCCCTGCACCCCATGGGAGACCAGGAAAAGCACCTGGCTCCTGCCATCGGATCAGCGCGGTGCGCCGGCCGCAGCGCGCCGGCCGCGGCGGCCATTGGAGGGTGAACCAACGGCAAAGGAAGACCTTTCTCTCTGTCTCTCTCTCTCACTGTCCACTCTGCCTGTCAAAAAAAAAAAAAAAAAAAAAAAAAAACTCAACTATGGGGTCGAAAATGATCACACAGTCAGCCCTCTGTATCCCCAGGTTCCACATTCTGTGGAGTCCATCAGCTGCAGATTGAGAATATTCACACAAAAATAGTCTTACTCAACACAAACAGCTTTGCTTCCCATTACTCCCTAAACAATATCATATAATTATTTCCAAAGAATTTACCCTAAATTAGGTGTTATAAATAATCTATAAATGAATTAAAATATGAGGGAAGGTTGTGTAGGTTATATGCAAATATTATGCCATTTTATTTAATGGACTTGAGCATCCAGAGAGTTTGGTATCATTGGATTTCTGCAGCCAACCCCCTGTGGGTACTGAGGGATAGCTCTGCTGTGCTTTTTATCTAAAACAACTTTTTTTTCCACTTCATAAATTCTCCACTAGAAGTGTAAGATTTCTCTCAGTATCTTTCTCACTTGCTCAAATTTATCAGGAAATTTTTTTAATCTCTTATTTTCTGGAAACATTTTGCCTGCAGCCTTCATCCTCCTGCCCCAAACTGGACTATTTGTCCTGAAATTTTTTTTGGTATTTCCCAGGACTTTCCATGTTGGATCACATTTTTAGCATCTTGATTTTTGTATAGTTTATGCTCTTCTGAAGCACATTTTCTTTTCTTTTTTTTTATGTTGCAATTTCTTTTTTTTAACTTTTATTTAATGAATATAAATTTCCAAAGTACAGAATATTGATTACAATGGCTTCCCCCCCATAACGTCCCTCCCACCCGCAACCCTCCCCTTATCCACTCCCTCTCCCCTGAAGCACATTTTCTAGTAGTTTCTTATGACAGATGTGACTGAAGTTTTTTGGTTTTTTTTTTTTTTTTTTTTTTTTTACAGGCAGAGTGGACAGTGAGAGAGAGAGACAGAGAGAAAGGTCTTCCTTTGCCGTTGATTCACCCTCCAATGGCCGCCGCAGCCGGCGCACCTCACTGATCCGAAGCCAGGAGCCAGGTACTTATCCTGGTCTCCCATGGGGTGCAGGGCCCAAGTACTTGGGCCATCCTCCACTGCACTCCCAGGCCACAGCAGAGAGCTGGCCTGGAAGAGGGGCAACCGGGACAGAATCCGGCGCCCCGACCGGGACTAGAATCCGGTGTGCCGGCGCCGCAGGTGGAGGATTAGCCTAGTGAGCCGCGGCGCTGGCCAGATTTTTTTTTTTTAACCTGAAAATATCCTAATTCTACCTTCAAATTTGATTGGTTAAGAAGGGAATTATTGATTGGAAGCCACTTTCCTCATAAGTTTGAAGACTGCTTCAGGTCTTTTAACTTTTTTTTTTTTAACTGCCAGTTTATTTATTCTCATCTTATTTGAATGGCAGAGAGAGAGAGGGAGGGAGGGAGGGAGGGAGGGAGAGAATGCTGATGACAGATCTTACTTCGACTAGTTCATTTACCAAATGCCTGTAACAGCTGGGGCCAGGCCAGACTAAAGCCAGGAGCCTGGAACTCAGTCTGGCTCTCCCTTCTGGCTGACAGGGATCCAAGTATCTGAGCCATCACCTGCTGCCTCCCAGGGTGTGCACTGGCAGGAAGCTGGATCAGAAGCAGAGGCTCCAGGTCTCCAACCAGCCACTCTGAAATGGGATGTGGGCACCCCAAATGGCATCTTAACTGCTGTACCAGACACATGCCCCAAGTCTTTTAACTTCTTCCTTTTTTAACATTTATTTGAAAGGCACAGTGACAGAGAGAAGGAGAGACAGACAGAGACCTTCCATCTGCTGGTTTCACTCCCCAGATAGCCATAATGCCCAGGGATGGGTTAGGCTGAAGCTAGGAGGCAGGAGCTTCTTCAGGTCTCCCACGTGGGTTCAGGGTCCCCAGGACTGGAGCCACCCTCTGATGCTTTCCTAGGAGCATTAGTAGGGAACTGGATCAAAAGTAGAGCAGCTGGGACTTGAACCAGTGCCCATAAGGGGATGCCAGCACTGCAGATGGTGGCTTAACCTGCTGTGCCACAGCGCCAGCCCCCTTTCATATTTTTAACAACCTGTAGTTCTTGTTTTATGGATAAAACGTTATCTTCTATCCCCCTGAACTAAGTCTTTTTTTTTTTTTTAAGTTTTTCCAGCATGTTGCTTTCTCTAGTTTCTCTAGCTTCTTTCTTCCATTTGATGGTCTATGTCATTTAATACGGTAGCATTCCTGAAATATCTATCATATTTAAGAGTTGGGGATTAAAAAGCTGGTAAGATGTGATAGGATATATGTAGGATCCCAAGTATATTTTTATGTCTTTTTTTCAGGGATTATTTTAGCAAGTCCCAAACTAGTCTACCACTAGGAAGTATAAATCTGGCTGCCACCATTTTGAGATCTAAGCAGGGGTTAGGGAGTGGGTATCTCAGAATTCATATGGAGACTCATTTTCATTGCCCATTAGGAGTATTTTGACTTGCCCCAATCCTCTGCCATGCCACAATCTTCAGAAAATAAATCATCTCATCCCAGAGTGAGAAAAGGACAGCTTCCTGACTATGCCCTGTTTCCATTCTTATGCCTCATTCTCCTGCCTTCTGGGAAATCTTGGTACTTTCACTTCCAAGTCTTTTTTGATGTCTTACATAAATTGTATCTTATTAAAGCTGTTATTTTTAAACATAGGAAAGAAGCTCAAGCTTTGGCTCTCCTTTGTGTCCCTCCAGGCACCTGACTGCAGCTTCTGTTCTGCTAAGCCAATAACTTCTCATCTACTTGCTATGCTTGTTAGAAAAAACTTGCAATTAAAAAAGTTTGGTGGTTTTTTTTTTTTGTTATGTTTTTGGTTGGTTTTTGTTTTGTTTTTGTTGTTGTTGTTGTTTGACAGGCAGAGTGGACAGTGAGAGAGAGAGACAGAAAGGTCTTCCTTTTGCCGTTGGTTCACCCTCCAATGGCCACCATGGCTGGCGCGCTGCAGCCAGCGCACCGCGCTGATCCGAAGGCAGGAGCTAGGTGCTTCTCCTGGTCTCTCATGGGGTGCAGGGCCCAAGCACTTGGGCCATCCTCCACTGCACTCCTGGGCCACATTCCAGTGGAGAGCTGGCCTGGAAGAGGGGCAACCGGGACAGAATCCAGCGCCCCGACCGGGACTAGAACCCGGTGTGCCGGCAGGATTAGCCTATTGAGCCGCGGCACCGGCCTGGTTGGTTTTTTTGATTTGAGAGGCAGAGAGACCAGAGAGACAGGCAGAAAGACAGAGAGCTCCTATCTGCTAGTTCACTCCCCAGATGCCCACAATGGCTGGGGCTGGGGCTGGGGCTGGGTCAGGGCTCCAGTGCTCCAAGAGAGCACATTAGCAGGAAGGTGGATCTGAAGTGGAGCTGAGACTCAAACTCAGGTAGTCTAATATGGGGTGTGGGTTTCCCAACTAGTACCAGGCCAAATGCCCACCCCATAAAAGACTTAAGTAATCTTCTGTCCTCTGTTAACTTCCTCTACTGTTTTCCCCTTTGAGGATTTATAACTTGAAAAAAAAAAAAAAACAGCTTTAGTGAGGTATAATTCATATATCATACAACTCACCTGTTTAAAGTATATAATTCAGTGGTTTTTAATACATTCACAGAGTTATACAACCATCACTACAGTCAATTTTAGAACATTCTCATCACTTCCCCAAAAGAAACTCCATACTAGTTAGCAGTCAACGCATTTCTTCCCCAAGCCTCCGCCAGCTCTTTTCTACTTTGTGTCTATAGAATTGCATATTCTGGACATTTGATATGAATGATATTATACAGTGCTAGC